AGTAACATAATATCACTGCAAAGAGCCGAATACTGCAAGACGCAACTCCAAATCAAGAAATCCTTATAAAAATAGGGCATCAAAATGATGTCTTTCTATTATGTGGAAAAGTTTACGAAAAGTATTTTGAAGCTCTTTGATCCAGCTTTGAAATAGTTTTGGCAGATTACTATTGTACGAAACCCATAATTTATAGTAGCTGACCTAAACTGCTCTTTGTATAAGAGCCATATACGAAACAATGGCAGGAAAGTGAAAAACACAAGAGAAACTAAAACTGCTCTGTTTATTATTTAGCTCATAATTACATCTTCCTTATTTAATCTTTTGAATCCTGGCATGTTCTTAATAATACAGGTTCAAATAATATTTACTATACACAGGAGAGTTAGTTTTGAGTAACGGATTTAGACTATCCAAACTTTGTGTAACTTGTGACCTTTCCCTAACCTAAGCGAGGTCTATTTTATACAGATCGTACTAGATAGACGGTTTCTCTATAAATGGTGAAGTTGCTGCCAAGCTCCCATTGTTTGTTAGTTCATTTTTCAACAGGCACACTTTGGGTTCCTATCACACTACTGTAAAGAGCAAGCCCTTGAGGTTTCTTCTTTTGTCAGTGTAATAAAACGGTTATTTCCGAATAACCTGCAAATCCACAAATGGCCCTTTGTGACTTAGAATATCACGCTAGAAGGATTTTTTTTGTTTGTTCTTGCAGGCAGCCTCCAATTTTATTCTATGATTTTAAATTAATAGTTGTCTTTCTTAACATGTTTATAATCTCACCCGTGAAAGAATAAATGCATGTTTTCAAGATGTCTTCTTCTCACTTAGTATTCACCACCCAACAGCAGAAGATGCCTTCAAAAGCTATCTAGTGAGACTACTTCAGCTGAAGGAAAAGGCAGAATCAAGCCCAATTCTGCATACTTTTTGTGGTCCCTTGAGGAGCCGTAATTGACTCTGGTAAATAAGAACAACCTGTAGGATCTACAAGCTTTTGTCAGAACGACTGTCGTTTGAAAACGGCAAGCTAGCCACCTCATTCCTTCTGAGCTGAGTAGATTTTGGCACAGGAGGAAAGCTGCACCTTTGACTTCAACAGACCCTCTTGCAGAAGTGCTGCACAAGCAAGGCAGGAACTGGCAGAAAACAAGGCTCCCCTAATGACAGAGAGCGCTGTGACAGCTAAATTCCTAATACTGGCTATGCCTGTTTTCTGGTAGCACAGATGCACTCCTAACTTAGTTATTTGTACAACACTGCTCTCAATACAGGGGTGACTACACTGTGCTAGAGCTCTGCTGTGTCAGCATTCCCAGAACCTGTATTTCAAATGAAGAGAATGAAGAAGAGCACCACAGTTACAACTCTGTTACAACACAGTGTGGCAATACGAGGACAGTGTGCCTGGTACCTAAAGCTGCTCTTTGAATTAGAGTAAGAGCAAAGTTGCTTGAGATGGTGGGTCAGCCCAAATGCACACAGAACTCTTCAGATGGAGTACTGGAAACGGAAGGAGGCAGTAGAAATCAAAGGACAGACATTTCAAAACAGGGCAAAACAAGGGCAAATGGGAGGATGCTGAATAAAGAGATGTAAAATGGTTAGAAAAGATGGAAAATTAGAAGGGGAGGATTTAAAGGCAAATGGAGAGAGTCATGAATAGTCTTCCATAGAAATCTAGATGGTAGAGAAATCCAAAAGTAAGTATCAGGAAGGAATGACTTTTTGAATGAGCGAATATAACAATATAGGATGGAAATTATTTGTGCGCTATCAGTACTATCAATGAGGTAAAACAGTGATGAGGTAAGCGCAGTAAGACATTTGGTAATTTTTCTTCAGCTTTAGATTGGAAGTTTTATTCCACTCTGAGCTGGCTTTAGGAACAGATTGTTAAGCTCATACTAATAATGAGTCCCGAGAATAGAGCAATAGTAAAAAATGTTTTCTCCTCACACTAGAGTGTGACCCACCATTGCGCTGTCCCTCCTACGCAAGGAAGTTTTACTTCCCTGGTCAACACAATAACATCGGTTCCTAAAGCTCAGAACAGGCCTTATTACAGTGCTTGGAAGAGCAGATGCTTGGCAAGTCTATATATGCCAGTGAGAACATCATTCAGTTTTATGCACACTTCTGTTTTCTGGCTTGGCATAATTCATTAGCACACTCTACAGAACACTCCATAAAACTGGATTTGGCGTTAAGGTTCTAATAACTACAGCGTTGTTTAAGAAAACAAAACCAACAAAAAACCCACAAACAAACAGTAGTCTCTCCTCTTTAATAGTCATGTTAACATCTGAAAAACAGAGAAAATACACACATGAGGCTTTTTTGCAAGATAGAAGTAGAAATAGCAAAGTAGTCTTAATTTTTTAAATGTTCTGCTTTCAGCATTTTAAATAGTGGCACAGTGTAATTTTTGTGGCAGCAAAGCTTTTTCGATCGCATGTAATGAAATTAGTACAGTATGTACACTTTTGTGGCTTATTTCATCCTCCTTCTAGTACAAAGATTCTTAAAAGGGGCAATACATAAAGATGAGGTCAAAGCTTTGATTAAAGACAGCTGTACTGCTTTCCAACCTGTTATGTCACAGCATTGGGTAGAGGAATAAATAAACAAATACAAGCCCGGCCTGATTTATCTCTGTGTCCCCACATAAATTTGTTTAATGTAAAAACAAATAAAGCAAAGCTTTGATGGAGGTTGTGCAGAATTTTCAACATCTGTGCAGATAAATTTAATTTATTCGAAAAGAAAAAGCAGCATTAGTGCATCATGTAAAAGCTGATTCAAATGATTTCATACAACAGAAAGCATATGCACTAACTAAAACAAATTCAGTTTGCCCTTAAAACCCATTTCACTCAGACAAACATTACTTCGGAATTTTCTGCTACGATAATGTTCAGTTATTTCTTATTTTTTATTTTCTTCTTGATTTTACACATTCCACTAACCGAAACCACAGTTCAAAGTGCCACAGGCAGCAACACCCTAAATGCAGCTTCTGTGGAGCTTCAAGCAGGTAAACTTTACAGATTGTTTCTGCACATCTTTATGGGCAGATCCTTAAAGCTGGTCAGGTAAAATAAACTAAGCACAATATCTTAAATAGCTGAACATAAACGAGTTACAGGTGTTTGAATATATTTTTTTTAAACAAATCTTTCCACTATAACACATTCAACACAAGAAAATGATCTCCATGCAACAATAACTCCCTGCAGTGGAGCTATACGAGCTTATCTCGGCAGCAAGGGGCAGAGTACTAGGAAGACTAAGCATTTTTTTTTCCTGAAAATTAAAGATCAGTCAAAATGATAAACTCCTGCCTGAAACTTAACAAAAACTGTTAAATCAAGAACTAAAAATTCAAAATAAAAATACTGCATATACATCTGAAAAAGCTGAAACAATGAATAGGATTAATACCCTTTCTTTTAACTCAAGGCAAGACCATAAAAAGTCAGCATGTGATTTCTGAAATCATACAGGCGCACAAAGTATCGCCTCAGCTGAAAAAAGTTGATGAATACGCACCAAAATGTTTTAAAGACCCTTTCCTTAAGGAAGAGGTTATCAACTTGTGCTTTAGGGCAACTGTCCTTCAACTCTACCACAGAATCTGCATCCCTGCTAAACTGCTCTGAAAATCTGAACGTGGCGAGCACACATGCAAAACTCTCATTGACTTTTAAAAATATTTTGTCCTTTCCTGAATGCCCGTTAGGAAAGAAAAGAGCAGTAAAGAGTGTCAAGCCAAATAAACTGCTATCATTATGAAGAGCCTAACTGAAAGCAGAAACCTGAGGCTCAGGATACTGCCCCTCTGAGTGGCAGTGAAGATGGAAATAGAATGAGATCGAACTCCTCAAAACTTCAAGGAGGGCTAACCCCCACCTCCACGTACCCCTCATCTCAGTGGTTCCAACAAGAGATAAACAATGTTCTTACAAGAACACATAAGTACGCAGGAAACTTATGCCCATTTCTGTGCTTTATTTGTCTTGGGGAACTGATCCGGTATGAAGCAGTGTTTTCTCTTTTTTTTTTCCTTCCCGTCTTGAGCAACAGGACAGTAATCTTCTTCAAAAGTTACCCAGATAGAGAGCTCCTGCACGTTGTTCTTTCGGACTTCAGCACGCCAGAAAATTGCATGTTACAGTAGCTACAGGGGTCAAGACAGATTCTTTCCTTAAAGTCAGCTAAGAGAAAAATTCCTAGGTATAGATTCCCTGGGGGTGGGGAGGAGAAGACAACGCACAAGTTATTTTTGAGTCATTAAACTACTTATTAAAAAAACCCCACGAAACTAACCCCAGACTTCACAGGCTCAGATACATAAAATAAATCCTTGCTCTTCACTTTCACCCCCTCTAAAAATCCCTTTAGATTATTTTTTATTGTTAATTTTGGGATTATGTTGTTGATTTTAGCAATCAGACAGTGATAAAAAACACATATACCAATCATTCTCTCAAAATTTGGCTATTTACCGTAACAGCCAGAACATACATGATCCTGTCTTACCACCTGGGCTTTATAAACTATGCATTATATTTTTTTAAGCCCCAAAGTAAGTCTTTACCAATTTGCCACATCAGTGTGGGTGTTTCAGTCAGATCACTAGCACCGAATAAATTTGTGAGTGGAATCTTAAAAAAGCCACTACTTTTAAAGGTGTAACAGGGTAAGAACTGAAAGTTGCACCTTTCAGCCTACGCATTTTTGTCTTTGTTTAGAATGCTAGAAGAAGCCATCCGGAAGGAAGAAAGATTATGAATATCTAGTAACTAGCTGTTTGACAGAGACAGAAATGCTGATAATGAGTGGGTTGTGTCTGCCTTTTTTGGCTGATCACAACAGAGGTCTGAAGCAAAACAGAAACTCTTGATATGTTTGTGTAAAGAGGGAGTAGCATAAGGGCGGGCAGCAGGAGTTCAGCTGAAGTTCAGGGCAGATGCTGCCATTAGTTTACACCGCAGGAAAGTAAAATTGCTTCCGGATTTACCTCTTCCTCCCAACATCAGCGTTGAGCCATGCTGTGTCGCAGAGTCACAATGTCAGTAGGAAAGCAGTCTTTTAGCAGGATACCACGTTCGCGATGGCAGTCCAGCTCTTCAATAAATCCATACCAGTAGATGACTAATCCAGGGCCAAATCTATCAAGCAAACAGGAAAATGAACTTATGTGATTGTGCTAGGTGATATATTAATTCCCCACCTCTGCGATTCCAACACAAGTAAATCTGTTAATTTCACTGCAAAACTGGAGAATATTTGACCTCCATTTAGTTTTCAAATTTTAATAAGTTGAATTGATATATGTCATTAATACCTGATTCCATCAATGAAATTGCTATTTAGAGACCCAAACAATCCACATAATTTTTTTCCCTTTAGAATACTTTGCATGTATCAGTAAAAGACCCATGCCTTAAATAACATTTAGTAACTTTGATACATACAGAGGTCTCTCTTGCCATGCACTCTGCTTTTTCAGATTTAGATGTGCAGGCACTAAAAATACAGGGCTTTATGCAAGTCCCACTTCATGCAAATTATAATAACATGAAGATATCAAAGAATCCCTAAAATGTAATCTCTACAATGAGCTATTGTTCTGGTAATTATTAACGTAAAGCACAATTCAAAAAGAAAAATAAAGTTTCTGCTGTAAGGTCTCTGAAATGTGCCTCAGGAATTCCTCAGATATTGCTAACTCGAACTGATCCCCACTAGGCAATCTCAGGAAGTAGCCCCATGGACTATTTTACCCATCAGGAAGTTCAGACCTTCAGGCTGGGTTCATAAAGAAGTAATCACTATCAATCACTGTGTACCGCGATATGTTTTGCACATCAGTTTAACGTTTTTCCTACTGAGAGCACTTAATTAAAGGGCAGCACTACTTTTGGTGTAGTGTTGCAGGAATTTTACAGTGAAATCATAAATTATGAATGTTGGGTTAGTAAAAGGATGTCTAAAAACAGAACTGCTTTCTGTAGTCTAACATTACAGCAGCCTGTACAACATTAGGCCAAAAAGCTTTTTCTTTCCTTGATTTATTATATGCTGTAGTGAACTTGCCAAAAACAACAGTGCAGGATGAGCTGTTAGATACCGTCTGTACAAGAAAAAGTTCAATAAAATGTCATGTAATGGTTTATATGCAGAGCCGTGCTTGAGACTCAACCAATATGGTAGCCAAATTTTGTTAATGTTTAATTATAATAAAAATGTGTTGAGGGGACACACAGTAACCTAAATGTCCACTTAGCAGACAATACAAGCACTCAAAACCATGGGTAGTGCCAGACCAGCTTCATTAGGGTGGTTTCTTTCCTGCAATGGAGGGAAAACTCCATTTGATGTGTTCATGTAATGGAACAGGCATCAAAGGAAGAAGAAACCCCTGTGGCTTCCTCCTGCAGTTTCAATTAGATACGGTAGTCTTCTGCCCAAAACTGCTGCAGAGCATTGTAACATTTTGGTTTACGGCTACTGCTCTTCAACCTAGAAGTGGCTGAGTAAATTACTCCTCAGCATAGCTGAGGCAACACTGGCAAATGTGCTTTTTGCAACTGAAAGATGATATTTGAAAGTGGAAAGGCTAAAACTCTGAGAAATCTAGCTATCCTAACTAATGTAGTCAAACACATTTAGCATTAAATGAAGCACAGACTAAAAAATGACTCATACGAAAGGACAATACTGTCTACACCAAATTCCTACGTTTTCTCTGGCTGGCCAACAGCTTTAGTCTCTACTGTCTTTAAGGCCTTCTCTTCTTTGTTTACATTCATGTGGGACCAAGATGTGCACGCCCTCACAGCAACATGGAGGCCAGCTGGCCTAGCAGTAGCGAGGAGCAAACTGCAAGTGATGCAAGGACTGATGCTCGCTGCCTCTGGTGAGAGGCCGTAATCAGCTGATGCAGAATGGGCCTACTTTTGTTATTTCACAGACTACCTCTGTGCTCCCACACCAGCCAAACATATGAAAGAGATATCTGGGGGAGGATGTACTTATGTTCTAACCAAAGTGATTTTAAAAGCAAAAATCCCCAGAAGATAGGAAGAAGACCTTACATTTCTGATGGGCTATTTTATGCAAGGCAGAAGCTATGAAATATACACAAGTACTTACTCAATACGAGCGTGTGTGCCAGGTAAAATCTTGATGCTAATGAGCAACTGCTCAGCCCAAATTCTGAAGGGCTTATTTCGCTCTGTGTGGCTATCTGAATTCCCTATCCGCCATACAACATATGGGGTATTATGCTTAAATAATTCATTAAGGTATTTCTTGAAATTGTAATTTTTAATAAAATGAATATTTTGAGGCTCCTTGAAAGGCTAATTTATGTCTTTCCAGCAAATCATCACAGCTCCAGCACATTTTTTCAGGAATATTTTGTGCTTAAAAAGTTATGTTCAGAAATGTCAAATTTGATGATAAAATTTATATACAAGAACATCTGCATACTATTTATTACAGGAGCAAGAACATCTTTAGCATGAACACATTCACCAGTCCTGCTTTTGACTGTGTTATTATTGCAAAGCTGTTTGCCCTGTGCTGCCTAGGTTGCACTTTTTTCCACTATATTGTGTAATTCCTTCTATTACAGCTATCTATCACACAGCCTAGAGGTATGGTCACACAAAAAAACATACCATATTTTTTCTTAGAAACACTTAAGTGCAGTACTTAAGACCAAAATTAACTTGTTGGCATATTAAGCTTTTGCCACTGACTGTCAGAAACTCCTGCTGCTAAGTGCTAATTTCTCTCTCATTAATGCCCAGAGTCTGCAAATCACAAACAATGCCACTGGAAAATTACTGCTGCCTTAATTTGAAAAGGCACTTAACCTTTTTGTGTTAAAAGGTTCCCTACCCTTGGATGAGGTAGAGAAGTGTAATCTAGAAGTAAGAACTATCCTTTTTAATTTGACTCTTTCCAAAGTGCAGATGTGACACCATCAAGAACAAAACTCAATGCTGTGAATTACAAAGTAAAGCTACACATTTATTTCTGCCTCAATCATAACATTTAGCAAGTTAAGTGACTAACCCTGGTTTACACAGGAGAATAAACTAAAATGACAGAATGCTTACTTAGTATTGCTCTGGAAAGGGGACTCATTTAGTAGCTCTGAGGAGGAGAAAAAAATCTTTGCACGAAATGGTTCTGAAACTATATAGATACAGTATGCAATATTGGCCAGGTTATCCCATTTCATTCAAAAGACACAATGGAGAAAGTTTAAGCTTAAAACAAACATCAAGCTTAGAATGCAATGAGCTATGGACTCCGACGGATGTTGTTCTAGCTCAGACAAACTATAAATCCCTAAAAATGTGCTTAACTTGTATTTTTTCTTCCATGTCTTTAGTTCTCACCCTGAAGAGCTTAGGTGCAAAGGAACACGGCCAAAAGTTATACAAAACCTTAGTTTTACCTATTCCAGTGAAACTATTACTTTTAGAACTTTACTTTTATATGGAGTTTCTTTTTAAAGCTGAAAAGAAATCCACGTAACTAAGGTTTGGTTAATTCCATGCAGTAAAAGTAGAATAAACAGGAAATATAGAGACAAGCTTCCTCTAGAATACAGTAAACAAGTAAAGCAAGTGAAAATTGTCCACACAGGTTGCAGCGGTTTACTTAAAATCAATCAATAAATATCATCATTATAGAAATCCTGGTTTAGTCATTGTCTAGTTTTGACATCAGAAGTTGTGACTACAAGGCAGCCAAAGCCAATCTAGCTGAACTTTAGCGTGGGGTCAGACTGACAGAAGGGCCAAAAAGGCTCATGACCCCATGGCATGGCAAGCAGAGAGCAGTATTACAAACTCCCATGGATTAGTTTAGGCCTAATTTCAGCTTGATATAAAAGACTAAATTTAGTCTCAGTACTAAGGGCAGCAGACTGTCTTTCAAAGAATCAACTGAAGTGTTTGAGAGATGCTGGAGGTAGCAAAATATAGTTTGAGTACAGTTAAATATAGTTACAGGCTCAACAGTGCTTTAGATAAAACTCATGCCTGATCATACTATAAATAATTCAGCTTTGCACTCATTTAAGAGTGTTTAGAGGATCTTTTGCACTGGTTTAAATGACACCAATTCTGAAAGAAACCCATAGTTAAAGGAGTATAGATTTGTACAGTGATAATCCTGGGACACTGGGCTTTGTTTCACAGAGATAGGCTAAAAAGCCAGGAAGGTAAAATTCTGAAAGCCCAAAAGAAATGATTCTTCTTATTAGAAAAAAAAATCTCATCTTTGTATAAGACAAAGAATCTCTTAAGAAAAGAAAAGGGAAAGAAAAAACCTAAGTAAAATGTGAATCTGGGTTTAACTTGCCCTCTAATTGAACTAGTTTTGTGCTAGAAAGAAAAAAGACTTTTATTTATTTATCAACGTGGCCCAGTAGGCTCACACATATTGTACTTCAACAGAAACTACTTTCTAGTAATGTCCTGTCTTCTGGAATGTCTGTGTGGGGTCCATAGTAGCTTCTAAGGATTTGCCTAGACATGTGGCTGCTGCGAGTGGATTTTTTCCACCATCAAAAAGCCTTGCATGTGGTTTTATGAAAAATGCATTTTCAACACACTGCTCGATACTGAGCAGAAATGTAAAACATCTTGCAATTGTTTTAAAATAAATGTTCGCTTTATTTATTCTCAGTCTGTTTGTTATAGATGGGTTGTATGCATCTCAGCATAATGTAAATAATTTTAATTCCAAGAGACTCTCACAATGAAATGCTGGCATATGAATTATTATTTCTAATATGCATGTATTTAAGCAAATACAGATTCAGATGAGTAATCATGTTATACGAAAGCATAACAGTCTACCTGATTGGTGATTTTAATTATGAAGGTCCCATGTGAATGTGTTTTTGAAGGACTGCATTCTGGTCCCTTGCTCTTTAATGTCAGATCATCAACAGTGCCAGCTAAAAAGCTGGCTTTGTTTCCTTGTTTTTATTTTTTAAATATCAAGCAAATTGGAGCATTACCACTTGCACATCGCTACTTATTTCTTGGGAAGAGGAAATTACAAAAATTCACAAATAACTACATTCAATTTAACATGGTTCTTGAGAATCACAGCCGTGAGTAAACTGGTTTTACTTGTA